CCGTCGAAAGCTCCAATCTCTTGTAGTTTGTCAGGGAATTTAAACTAATTAAAATGCTTTCTAAGGGCATTCGGAAATTTCATAAAGCAAGCAAAGGCACAGAAGCAAATCGGATTGCGTTATTTATGGCAATATAGGGCCGCGACTTTTCCTCTTTTGCATTCGCCGCTCTGGGAAATCAAGGAAAAATATTTAATTTTCCAAATCAATAAACACGCTGATTGCATTGCCTGACAATTGGCATCAGCGTGAGAGTGGGGTGGCAATAAATCTGGGCATGTGTAAGCGATGCTTTGGTATTTATTTGCCTTCCACTGCCCGTCTCCCCAGTTATTGGTGGTCAAAAAGGAGCCGAACAACAAGACAAACTGTCAGCTTGCATGTTTTGGAGTGGGAGTGGAAGTGGAAATGGAAGTGGTAGTAGCCGGATGATTTGCCCCCTGCCCTCGGGCACCGAAAAATAATTGAATTCCCCAAATGCCAAAGTGGAATTTTAATTTGCGCTCGACACTTCCTAGTTGGCCTCAAGCCCTCGAAAGTTCGAAGAATTGCTGCCACTGATTGCTGATCAGTATGCAAAATGTGTGCGTGCCAAAATCAGCGCAAAAAACGCTGCGTGGCTGGGTGCAAAAAAAAGGGGGGACAGACATTGTCACACGTACTTTCATTGCACCCCTCGAATTGATGTCTTAGAAAATTAGCAAACGTCTTTCTGCCAAGTGCCGTCTCTCGTGACTTGGCATCTCAACACCTTTTTTAAGCGATTTTCTCTCCTATTTTCCATTTTGCTTTTCCCAATCACTCTCCTTTTTCGAGAATCCTTTACTGCCAAAGCCTGATTGTATGCAATGCATTTTTTATCACCATGTCTGAATGAACGGGTTGCTATTTGTTTAACTGGAAGGTTAATTTAATTTTTGGCTTCAAAAGGTGAGGACAATTGATGAAGGGAAGGCATATTTATTAAGGCACTTAATGACATTGTTTTCAGTTAGAAAATATTTTTTTCTATTTTTATTTTTCATAAATATAATGAGAATTAACTAGAATTTAAATGATCAGCTTGGAGTAAAATAAAATATTAACCCCATTAAATTTTTTTATGTGGTCAGATAATAGTTTCTCGTTAACGAAGACTTTCTGGTTTTATTTTGAAAAACTCGTTTTTGGCAGTGTGTCTTGACCAAACCGACCACCATTTTGGTTTAAAATTAAGCTTCCCCTTTATATATATATCCTTCTCTTTTTGTCGACAGTATCGTGGCATTTATAAACGCATACATATGCATGAGATCATAAAGATTGCGACAGTGTTCGTGTGTGTGTGCGCTTTGTGAGTGCAATGCATTTGTCATAAATGTAAAAAAACGGCAAAAGAAACTCTATAATGGCATACATGTGTGTCCGTCAGTCTCGCTCGCCCCCACTCTATAGCCGTCTCTCTCTGCCGTTCTACCTATCTCACTTCCTCCCACTCTGGGAGTCTCTCGTCAACGGCATAATGAATGCATCCGGCATGCATTGAAAACTTGACTCATATTTCATACCCAAAAAAAAAAGGGAATAAAAGTTCTACGGGTACATTGACCATCTTGTTGGGGCTTCATTGTTGTTGTTCGCCCGGTTGTTGTCAACAAATTTGTTGCATTTCCATGTATGTATGTGTATATGAGATTTAAAGCCAGTTTTTCACATCGTTTTGATGATATTTCATAATCTTTTATGCCACACCAACCACTTCTACAAACAGTACGCATTAAATTGCATTTTAAATCAATTTTTTCACTCGCATTGTGCAAATTAAATGGATTTTTTTTGTTTAAAACACTTTTAAGTGCAGCTCAGACGACTTTGACGTGCGTAGGCCACTTTGAAGTTGATATACATTATGGGATTACAAAACAGAGCTGGCAAATTAATTTTCAATTTTGATATACAATTTGGATGAATTTCAATTTGATGTGTACGAATGTAATGGACAATAAAAACGAGTTGGATTTACATTGTTTACTCTTTTGAATAGGATTGTGAAGGGTTATATGAGCTGCTAATAAATTAAGTGAAATATTTTATAGTGTAATCGGAACATAGAAAAAGTATCAGCTTTGACTGCTAAAACTACAAAGCTTTTTCAGATGAATGGCCATAAAAATCTACAAAGAAGGTATGTTTTTTTTGTATATCCGTTTTATCGTACACATTGACACATTTTATTTTCATTTTATTTCAGAACTATAGAGAGTTTTTCAAATAACTTAGTATCGGTAAACCCCTTTCCTAACTTAAGTCTAACTAAAATGCATAAACCGCCATCAGATTACGAAAATATTTTCAGCTTGTGCTGCTCAACGGGCTGACAAACTGGCTGACATCAACCGCACTCTTCGCGCAATTGTTGGATGCCGACAAAAGGCACGTCAGTCGCCTGCCTGCATTGCAGCCAAGTTGGAATGTCAGAGCAGTAAACGGCAAATGTCTGCTAGACAAAGACGACTCAGCACCAGAGCCCCTCAACCTTTGGTCCTCATCCTGCATTCGGGGCCTTAATTCGTGCATCCACCTGCTGTCTTGCCGAAAAAGCAAAAACAAAAAAACGCAAAGTGCAAGTTCATGTGATATGCAAAGTGGAGTGTATGAGGGAGTTTCTGTGCGGGCTTATATGCATGTGTTCTGCACTCTAAAAAAAACTTCGTTGACATCTTATAAACTTGTTATAGTTAAGTTTTACTTTCATTAAATTTGGCAGTGAAAATTCAATTAAAACTAAACTTTACAAGGGTGCCAAGGAAATCACTTTGGTTTTAAAAACACCTATTAAGGTGTTTAAAAGTTTGCAATAATCTATTTTATATTTCAAAGAACGTATCAATTGAATTGAACGTAATTAAACGATTTCAAAACCGAAGTGATTTTTGGGGTACTCCTGATAGTATTGTAGGTTTCAATGCAATTGGTTGAATATAAAAGATGGTTTGTAATTAAAAAAATTAAAATTATATTTAATTATAAATCAATTTGCCATTTTTAACTTATAAGTTTTCCAAGTGCACAAATGCTGAACAGAAGCTCTGGCAGCGTGAGGCTGATAAAGCGCAGGCACACCAGGGCGTATGTGTGATATGTGGTATATGATCATGATGATGACGATAATAATGATGCCGTTGAAGAATGCTAACTGACTTTTGTGCCTCCTGGAAAATTGAAAACCTATCTGCAGCCCACTCGCTGCTGCTTTTGCTTTTGCTACGGCCTTCCATTGTGATTGAAGCTGCCCGCAGAGAACAAACTTTTTCCAGCCAGACCTATATTGAAGGATATAGCCAATTTTGGCCTTTGTTCCAAAGGAAAATGCGAGGAGGGGCCCTCAACATGTTGCATGTTTTTCGCATGCGCTAGCCCAATGTTGAATGGAATAGTTTTCCCTTTTTTGGGGCTCGGGGAGTCATCGTTGAGTTTTCCACTTAATCCCCACATACGATGCAGTGCATTGTTTATTGTTTGGCCCTCAAAAGGGATGGTCAGCACTTTCCCTTCGACAGCCCCTTTTTGTGTGCGTTTAGCATAAATTAGAAAGTATCGATCGATCTGTGGCGAAATTGAAAAGGGAATCCAGTCGTAGTCGCAAAAAGTTTCAAATCAATAACGAGCTGGGAATGTTTTTTCGGCTAAGCTGCTAACCAACAGAAATTGTAATTTCGATGAGTACTCGTGGATGGCAGAAGCGAAGGAAATTGAGGGGAAAATAAATAAAACTTGTGCCCTACCGCGCTTTCGGTAATTGCAAGAAAATCTCATTTAATCCCAACAAATTCGACTTCATCACGCAAAAAATTATGAAATATTCTCCGTCTCTAGGCAGCAATTGCTTTCGTTTCTTACATATACATTTATCTATATTTATATATCCTTTGCCGTTGTTGCTGGTCTTAAGTTGCCTTTTTGTTTTGCTTGTTTACACATTGTCCCGCTCGCGCCTTTTGGCCAGACAAAAAAAAAAATGAATATAACCAGCAAAAATGGCAGTCAGAAGCATTGGTTGGATATTTAGTATCGTAGTTTCTTTTGCAACATCATCATTTCGGTCTTGTTGCGGTTGGATGGCGGTATTTGTGAGAAAAAGAAGAGCTCAATGAGTTGAATCCGTTGAGTACTAAAATGGGGGTGGATCAAGAAATTGGTCGCTTGGTAACCTTTCTTCTTTTTTTTTGATAACTTGTAAGCCGATTATAATTTAATCGAAAATCTTTTCATATTTAAAATAGGAGTATACAGATAGGAGTATGGCTAGTTAAATACACTTTTAAAATAACATTTGATTAGTCGTCGAATGAAAATGATCGATTACTGTTTTAGAGCCTTTATTCTGAAATGGAACTTTATTTGTATATACAAAGCAATTAAAATAACTAGAATTAGTCAAAAATAATATATACTTAAGATTGTATAAAAAACTTATTCAATTTAATTACGTATTTTTCGATCACCCCTCGAGTTATTTAACTGCTTCCTGAGCTCTTCTGGCCATCGTTTCATGCAGATGAATGCGCGTATTTATGAAAAATGTTGCTGTCATCGCTCTCTGTTGTTTTTATTGCCATTTGCTGAATGTGCTTTCGCCTCCGCTTCGGCTGATGAGAAATAATGTTTGCGGAAAAATAAGATTTGTTTATTTTACGAACGATTGATTTCGTCTTCCGCTGTCCTTGCCGCTCCATTTAGCCAGCTTTTCCCACCCACCGCAGCCGACCACCCACCACCCAACACCCACTTCGGCCACTTGTCCGCGCTTCATTTTGCGCGGCTTAAAAATTAATTATCGCCAAAGTCGGAGACTCATCTAGGACTTGCGTCTGTCATCCGGACAGCCATCAGAGTCATTTATATTTTGGAGGCTTTGCCGAACTTTTTGAAATATCTCATCAAAGTTTTTGTCGTCCTTCGACGTTTTTGTCACTCGACTTAGCTGTGATTTGGACTCGCCCAGTTTATAATTCACTTACCAGGCACCAGAATGAGGAGCAGCATCAGAGAAGTCCAGCAGATGCAGCCACGCCCACTTCGTTGTCCATGGGATCCACACTCCTTGCCCCTCGCCCTCCAATCGTTGGCCATTTGCATATGACGGGTGGCCGCCCCTGGAATAGTCGTCGTCGGCATTGAAGATAGATATTTTTACTATTTTTCTGGCTGTGCGCTATCCTGTGCTTTTGTTATTTCTCTTTTCCAGGATCTTCCTTGGCTTCCGCTCGGGCCTTATAAATATATATTGGCCAATAAATGTCAATTGAATTTGGCCTATTTCTGCAGATGGTTTACCCAGAGGCAGATACTCAGCTGTAATTGTAAGAAAATTTAAGCTTGCGATTAGAATGGATTTATCGAAAGTACGAAGACTACGACTAGAATTAAAACAAGAGAGAACGCTATAGTCGGGTGCCCCGACTATCAGATACCCGTTACTCAGGTAAAGGGAGTGCGAGCGAGATGGAGATAGAAACTTTGATCACGCATAACTTTTTAACGAATGGTCCGATTGGAAAAATTTCTTCTACATTTCGATAGGTATTGATAAAAACAATAAAACTGCATTTTTACTTTTCCTAAATATTTAAATTTTTAAAATCGTATATAAGCGATTGTGGGCGTTAAAGGGGGCGTGGCACCTTTTTGAAACAAACTTGCGCTGCGTAGGAACTCCTAGAATCTGCATGCAAAATGCCAATCTTCTAGCTTTTATAGTTTCCGAGATCTCAGCGTTCATACGGACAGACAGACGGACAGACAGACGGACAGACGGACAGACGGACATGGCTAGATCGACTCGGCTAGTGATCCTGATCAAGAATATATATACTTTATAGGGTCGGAAACGCTTCCTTCTAGCTGTTACATACTTTTGCACGAATACAATATACCCTTTTACTCTACGAGTAACGGGTATAATTAGTGTTTCTCAAAACTTCAATGTTCAATTACATGTCCTTAGCTAACAGGGTTTATATTATAAACCCTATTTCTGATTTATTATTTCTGATATCTGTCGGACATGTTTAATTGTAATCGTATCCGATATGAATATTAAATTGAAAAGCTTGATATTAAATTACTGCAATTTGAATTTCAAAACAAAAAATTCGCTAAACTTCATTGCTTTTTGATTGCCCATTAAATAATTCAGCAAAAATCAGTTAAATAATTCATTAAGTATTGTGGACCAGACCCGTTTTATTTCATTGCGTTCAGCACCATGTGCATGCCCCAACGCTCTTGGCAAATACAGTGATTAATGCAATTAACTGCAGTACTTTAATTAAAAATCGCCTCAAACACAGATGCAGAACAAACACACACACTGAAATCGATTTCATTTGAACACTAATCCGTGGATGTGTTGCACTGAGCAAATGAAAAAATAATAGCATTAAGAGACGGGGCAAAAACTTAATCCAGAGAAAAAATATAAGAAAAATTGGAAGGAAATGCGGAAAATGGGCAAATGGAACATTTGTAAAATAGCTTAAATCGTTGGGTAAGATGTGAAAGAAACAATTGGAAAAATCATCTTAGGTTAAAACCATTTTTTCAATTAAAAAACACATGTTAATGAGAAGAAAGAACTTAATTTATAAGCTGAACTTGATTTTCTTTTTTAAGAGATATTATAAATATTATTTTGGTATTGAAAAATATAAATTTATTTTGAATAGCTAAGAGGGTATAAACAATTTCGGTTTGCCTAAATGAGTTTTATTTTTCGTTCTTTTAAACTTTGGTCTGTTTGCCGATTTCCCCACGCCTTTTATCCAATTCTGATACCCTCTTCCTCTGTTTAAACGAGCATTTCCTAATTGTCTTTCCACTTTACCAAAAAAAAAGGAACCATAGCGAAACTTCAATCCTCAGTTTAATTATTTTTCATTTAAATAAAATTCACACACTCTCATACCCATTGGCATTTACATACACCCACATGCGCCCCATTTTACTTGCTTGTTTATGTCGTAAAAACTTCTTTTCTCTCTTTGTTTTTTCGGCAGCGGCTTCGCTTTTGGCCATTTTCTTTTCACTCATGCCACTTTTACAGTCGTTTGAAACAAAAGTGACACGAACACACTCACACACGTTGGCCAAAATCCCTTCAATAAATTAAATACCCTTGTATCGCTGCTGTTGGGTATTTCGGGCGATTAATTATAAGATTAACCAACTTTTCCTTCGAACAATCAAAAATAGTATCTTAAATGCATATTATCCATTTTACAGCAAATTCTTTCTTGTCTTTTTATTGACGAAAATAAATATATTAAAATCAAAATATGAAATATATAATATACAAAAATATATTTTGTGGAGAAGGGAAACGTTTTAATAAGGCTCTTTCATTTCTTCTTTCTTTTGTTTTATATATTTTGAAGTTATCCTTTTGGAAATAGGATGGCAAACTTTGGCATTCAAACTGTTACCAATGCCAAAACATTAGACAAAACAACTTAAGAGAAGAAACACGTTGAAGGAAGATTGCCCTCACACTGCATTTAAGGTAATGAGCACATACAAAATGCAATTAAAAGCTTGTTGCCAAAAATGCAATTTTACGTATCTTTTTCTTTTCTCCCTACAGAAAACACATAAAAACATACGTACATAATTGTGTATGTATGTTTTTAAGCTTGGACTTTGCAGTTTGCGCACAGCATGCAAAACATTAATGCATTTTATGGCCCCCAACCGACAGCGAATGCTTTTAACGATGCCACGGTAAACCTGTGAACTGAAAACCCTAAACGTGAAAATGGCTACTGTAAAAATTTGTTTTAAAAGATTAGTAACAAATTAAAAACTTTTAAGGAAGGATATGACTGAAAATTAATATTGAAGGCTATTAATATTTATTTTTGAGATGATTGTATTCTATTCTAAAATTATTTGGCAAAACGCAGTTGGAGATATATTTTATAATACCCTTTAATAGAGTAATACAATTATAAACTAAAGTTCCTTGTCTTTTTATATAGAGAAATTTTAAGCCTCCAAAAATTTTTTAACAAACTTTTCTGCCAATTAAATTTGTCGTTTAGTTTGTAGTTAACAACAAAGGTATGTCATGTCAAAGGTATGAAACAAAATTGAAATTCAAAGCCTTAAAAATCCTTATTTTAATCATTCGTTAGTATAATGGTATATAAATGTCTAAAGAAACCTTTTCTTTCGGCTTTTTCCAAGTGCGTAATCTCTGCTTTTAAAGCTCTGCAAACATACAAAACGAATACACTTGAAATATTTTGTATTTTCTTTGTAAAACACCGCTTCCATTATGCAATGTGTAATGTATTGTAAGTAAAATTCTATTCTATCTCTTTTCTATTCTATCTTTTCAGTTTTTGCATCTCATGCAGTTCATTGGCCCTGGTGATTTCCATTCTATTTTCATTTTGCCTTACTTTTTTCATCCTTACATCTCCTTGGTTACGGTTCACTTATTTCATTTGGCTTGATACCTTGTGGTATTTGAATTGTTTGCACAATTTATTTCAACTTCGGGTTCGGAAGTGAAGTTGGAAACGAGACCCAGTATGACAAACATTTTTGTGCCGATTTGCTCGCCTAGTTTTGTGGGTCAAGTGGAGCATAGGCAAACGTGTGTATATATGCAAATGTATCCCTCTCTGTGTTTGAGTGGATGAAACCACCAACTGCAATTACGAGCAGATCAAAGTGTTTCCATCAGATTAACGTTGTGGCAACATGTGCTTTGTATGATGAATATGTTGACTGCTGATCACTAAAGTTGGTTAATCTTTGATTAAGTTAAGGCACTTTTTAAACTTGTTTTATTTGTAACGAAGAAGAAAAAAATGTTAAATTAATTATAGGTACTTTGAACTTTTCAATATTTTTAAATAAATTAAGAGTTTATTAACTTTCCTTAAAAGTAAACTACGCTTTATAACTTTTAGTGCAAAAAGTTAGGAACAAAATCAAATTAATTCTAAAAGGATTTTATTTAGATATTCTTTGATTTGATTTTCAATGCTTTTTGTGTAAGTTTAAATTAGGTGCTATTGTTGCATCCAGCTTAATTAGCGCAATAGAACAATCATGCATGATCATAAATGGTTAATTTGTGATTAATGGAATCGAATAACGCGATGCCGGGGCTTATAATAAAATCACCTGAAATCATTAAGCCCACAGGCAAGGCCCTTATATCAATAGGTCAATCAAGCGCACCATTCATTGTTCTCTGACGCCTTGCAACCCGTTCCCCCGAATTCCATAGAAATTCACCTGGTTGGGTGTGCTCACGTCATCGTTGTCGTGCAGCTGGCAACCTTTCTTAGACCGCAAAAACTCATTACGACTACCCCTCGCCCAATCCTCACTCCCTTCGTGCGCTTCTTTGCACTGGCTGTCTCTGTCGCTCGCTGCGTTTTTGCTATTTCGCAATTAAAACTTTCATTAAAGTAATTAAAAATTGCAACAAAATAAACAAAAATACAATCGAAATCTGCAAGGTCTGGCAAGGGAGGGGATTTTGTTTTTTCGGTGACGGCGGAGGGGGCAGCAGAATTTGACAGACACACAAAAATGCAGTTAAAAACCACCCAAAAAAGGGGGTGGCTGGAACAAAGACAAAAGTGTGACAAATATAAACAGGGGTATAAATAAAATGGTTAAGTGCTGGCTGGCTGGCTGGCTGACTGCCTGGCAGGGGGATATAATAAAATGTGGTAATTGTAAATAAGTGGAAAATGAGTGCCGGGTCTGAGGGAGCTGTGTCTATTGCATTTGGCGGGATAACATTTTAAATTCAAATTAAACGACCGGCAAAGCCACAAAAGGATTGACATGAAGTTAGTGCCACCAGGCAGGAACAACAAAAAGGGAAAATGCGGCAACTTGACTAAAGGCAACCACAGCTCTAGTTGGCAGCTGTCGTAGTTGCACCAGCAGTTTACCATCTATTGTTTTATTTGAGCTTGACATTTGCATGGCAAATACGAAAAATAAAGGGCAAAAAGGTGGAGTTCGACTTGTAAATAAAACCATTCGTTGGTTTGCTAGTCTTCAATTAATTTCCAAATAATTTGAAAGTAAGCACAGAAGCAAAAAAATAATAAATAGCAATAATTCCTCTCGGTTCCAAAAGAGCAATCATTGTTCTGATGGTTTTTCTCTAAGGCTGCATTTAGCCAAATTAATTTCATCTCTTGATACTTGATGCATATAAATTGGGAAATCAGGCGATTAAATCTGAAAGACTGGACTATTAAATTCGAATGCCGTTGAATTGAGGTCACATTTAAAATATTTAAAATGTTTTTGTGTCGAAAAATACTAAATATTTGGATTTTATTGTCATGGATTATGCCAGACCTAGTTGGAAATATTTTAATAATTGAACTGACTTATAGAAAATAAAGAGACTGCTTTTTCTCAAAAGCTTTGCGATGTATAATAATAAAACAATTAATATCATGAGTAAACTTTAAGAACTCAATTGCAAGAGTACACTTTACAGAAATTTCTCGGGGTTCAATTCACAAATATTTGTGAATATGAAATATGAAAGGAACATATTTTCAAATTCATATTTACATCTCACATGTGGGAAATTTGATGCCTCCGCCGTGTCTTCGGGACGGAAATAAAAGATTTTACAAGACAGTGCCTTCTCCCTTGGGATTTTCCGCACATTCTTCAGCAGGCAAACAACTTAGCCCGGCCCAAACTCACTCCGCCGAGGAAAACGTTTAAAGGCAACTTGACACGCCGGCAAATAAAATCTAAACTTCTTAAAGAAACCCTCATCTTTCCCCCCTGAATCCGCTGAGGGGTCGATGAAGCTAAAAACGAATACGAAAAGCAGTAAAAAAAATGATAAACGCTTCAACTGATGACACATTCAGTTTCACACACGAACGACTTTCAATTTACATTTGATGTTTTATGTTTCGCAGCATTTACCAAACGAAAAGCGAAGAAAAACCGAATGAAGCCAACGGGGGATGGAGCGAAAAGAAAAAGAATCACTCATACGCACCCACGCACATGAGGATTGGCGCCCGACGTTTGACGCCGCATGGCAAAGCGCTTAGAAAAGAAATAGCACAAAAAAATACTGGGACCCAGACCAAGTAGAACTTACCAAAAGGCAGTAGCTCGAAGGAGTGGAGGCAGGAGTGTTCTACTGACGACAACGGTGCCAAAAGGACAAAGTGCGGGGAAGCAGGCAGCGTTGGGTAAATAAACGAAAAATATTTTGTACTTCAAATAGAAATAGAAAAGCCAAAAAAATCAAGAGCTTAAGCGAATAAGCCTTAAGCCAGATGCCCTTTATTAACCATTACATCATAATCCTTGAAAACTAACGGATTTTATATTTCTAAAATTATATATTCAAGATTCTGCTTTTACAAAAAAATACAAGAAAATGAAATACTTCGAATAGAGTATTAAAAGTTTTTACAGAACAAGAAACAAAAAAACCCGAAGTCGGTTGGAAATTTAGAAGAACACCTAATTTTCAACAAGATCAAAAAATCTTGATTTATTTTTAAGAAAGTTGATTTTAGACTTTGATTGGTCCGCTTTATAGAATTTTTGGTTGTAAACTTCATTTTAATATCCACTAAATATTTTCGAATTTTGTAATAAGCTCGTTGTCATGCAAATAACAAGTTTAAACAATGTCCACTCTACATCCTCGAATAGCCAACCAAATTACTTTCTAGCCCGCAAAACCAGCATGAATTTCCGAAAAGAAGAAAAAAACTTCTTCCAACTTGTAATAAGCAGCACTCAAGGATATTTCTTACATATTGACAACTTCGTAGTGTAAACTTTTCAATGGTCACTTGTGAGCGTTTCCCCGAAAACCGATGCTTGACAAGTTGCCTCTTTTGAGATCGGCCACAAAGGCACTTCAGATGGAGGCCCACAAAATAGAAGAGCCGCACTCAGCATGCGGTCAGCAAAAAACAAGAAAGTAAAACAAAAGCACCCAGAAAGCAGTTTGAGCAGAAATTGCCCATAACGAGCACTTGACCAAGGACAAAATGTGAGATGCCAAAGTTCAGAGGAATTCTGCAGGCATCTTTTGTATACCTTTTTCTCGGCATAAGTATCTGTATCCGTGGCAAATAAATTTAAAGCGCTCGAAACGAAAAAAGCGATGCACTTAAAGACCCCACATTTGTCTCAATGAAGGCCGGAGTCACATAAGTAACGTTTAGTTCTCTTTTTACCTAATTTATACAGTTTACACTGGGCGGCTGTCTCGATGTCCAATGTCCGATGTCCTGAGGTCTCTGCGGTCCACCATTTATGTCCGGGTCCGGCTGTGGAAGCCATATAATTGCGCTTATCTCTTGGCGCACACTCAAGTGGCCCGGCTCAATATGTTTTTGGAGTGAAATGAAGTGCCCATCGTGTCCACTTGGAGAAAAAAAGGCGGGGAGTGCGGCAAAGAGGCTGTGGAAATGGAATCCCGGTAGGAATTTTTGTATTTGATTTAAAAGGAAATACCTTTTTTAGCAGAAAACCTCTCTTGTTTACCCTGCTGTTTTTCTTTTTCCTCGGTGCTTCCTTTTTTTGTGGTGACATTTTTATACTCTGTGTGTGTGTGCAAGTGCTTAGGGCTGCGAGGGGATAACTTTTTGGCATGCTACCAATGAGATTATCTTAAGTGGGGTGTTGTTTTTCGGTTCTGGGGAAGGTGGAGAACCCTCAATTGCAGTCTTGAAGCTGGGTTTCCGTTTTTTGTGTCTGTATAGAACAAGAAATGAGTTTCGCAATAGTTTTTAACTGTCTGGGGGGTCTGTGGTTTCTTTTTCTCCGGCTGCGGGATGTTAGGTAAATCGATGTAAATTGCTTTTTAAAGAAGTTGAATGAATAAATTATGTGCTCAAATAGAAGGCCAAATAGGAGAAGATTCATTGTCAATATAAATAGTAGGGACTTTCGGAAAGAGTTTCTATTGAATGAAAAAAGGTTCAAGAAAGTCAAATTAAAAGCAATTATTTAGAGAAAACATAAGTTTAACTTAAATTCTCTCCTCCGGAATACATGGTCGAATCAGTCTAGCAATGATTTAGTTATAATTAGATTTTAAATCTTTAATAAACACAAATCTTAAATAATAATAATTAAGTTGAGATGTTTATCCTGTAAAATAATTCTCCATACTAGCTCTTTTATGACCGAATATTCAAGCCATTTAGTAAACGATTTAATACTCCGTTTAAACGAATAGAATATTTATTGTCAAAGTTAAATTTTCTATCGTTTTTCGATACATCCTCGCCCAGGTCTCTCTGTTTTGCTGAGAGTGCATCTTTTGAAAGCCTCAAGTGTGAACACACATTATAATAAACGCCTCAATTGTTGTGCAGTCATCTGTGTAATTTATGTTTAGCTAATGTTCAGGGATCGATGAGCTTGTCAGCTTTTGTGAATCACAACGCCCGCAGACGCACACGAGGTCCTGTATCCTATATCCTGTCCCGCACACACATGCCCTTACATTAACCCCCCGAAAACCGAAGGAAGCTGGAAAATGACGTTAAGGTTGCTTCGTTGAGTCTAATAGACTTTCATGTCTGCCTCGACATCGCCGTTGCCCCAGTTTAGAGCAGGTCCTGTGAAAAATCCTTTCGCCATCCAGACCCCATCTCCCACATTTTGCTGGTGTTATTCTCCCCAGAGTCCTCGTTTTTTTTTAGACATGTTTCAATGATTTCTTATTTTTGCCAGAGGGGCGAATCTGTTGCGCTGCTGTTTTGTCGTTAGAGAAATTCAATTTTTTTTTATTTGTCGCTCCGATGTTAAATCATTGATGTGTGAAATTTGTGAGCTCCGCCAGAAGGAGAGCAGCATCAACAACTTGACTTTGATCGATTTTTAAGGCAGTTTCTCTAGCCCACTTTGATTCGCCTTCTGCCTTTCTAGCTGGTCTTAAATTTCTTCACATCAAGTGGGCCCTGAAAAGAATTTTCCAGACTCTGGTCCCCGTAATCTGAAGTCAGCTCATTCCAGTCTAGTTACTTGTTTTGTAAACAGCTCGTACGCTTTCACCAGTACTTAAACCAAAAGCCCGAAAAAATTCCGTGTTCAACAAAATTGGAAATCTTTTCTTAAACGGAACTCTTGCCTGAAACTAACTGTGAGTTGGGATTATTCTAGTGGTGTTTCAGCTAATTTCTCGAGCAGCTTATCCTCTAAAGATGTGCTGCCAAGGAGCCTGTGGATCGGTATCTTATGCCCTGGCCTACGGACCCGTTGGTCCCGCTCTGCCGGCCATGAACTATGCCAACTGCTGCTGCGGCCCCAATCCGCCCTGTGGTCCCTGGACATGTCCGCCCAACAGGTGTTGTTGCGCCGGCGAGTGGGGCTGCTTCGGACCCTTCTACTGAGCACGAGTCCAAGGAGGACTCCCAAGGAGTCGATCATGGAGTCCAGGAAACCCGAACAGAATAGGACGTGGAATTTTTTTGTGCTTTTGGTTTGAACCTTGTTACCTTCTGTACAGGGTTTTTTTTTAAGCAAGCAATAAATTAATGTATTAAACATAAAAAATTATTGGTTTGGTAAGCAGAGGGTAATTGAGAGATAGTAATTCCACATTTCCGACCAAATTTTCCAAAACTGGCTTCGCAGAAAAGTGACGCCTGCACTTCTAAGCTCATAATGATTGTGATTCGAAAAATGGCTTCGCAGAAAAGTGTCTAAAAGCGGCACGTCTAAGCTCATAACCTTTCTTACAGACATCCGATTTTAAAGTGGCATACTTCTAAATGATTGTGGGTAAATTCTCTAAAAAACTGCTTTTACAGTTTGGTTTGTAATTTTTGGACGGTTTTTCGTCATTCTTATAATGCTAATCACTTTTTGGCTTGCATTTTGGGGTCGTTATGGGATACGGATGCTTCTCTAAAAATCTGCGTTCTCATTTTTATACCCTTGCAGAGGGTATTATAATTTTGGTCAAAAGTGTGCAACGCAGTGAAGGAGACATCTCCGACCCTATAAAGTATATATATTCTTGATCAGGATCACCTCCTGAGTTGATATAGCCATGTCCGTCTGTCCGTCTGTCCGTCTGTCCGTCTGTCTGTCCGTCTGTCCGTCTGTCCGTCTGTCCGTCTGTCTGTTTCTACGCAAACTAGTCTCTCAGTTTTAAAGATATCGAATTGAAACTTTGCACACACCCTTCTTTCCTTTGCACGCAGTATATAAGTCGGAACGGCCGGGATCGGCCGACTATATCCTATAGCTGCCATATAACTGATTGATCGGAAATGCCATAACTTTGGTGTTTGTAAAGTTAGGAAGTTGGGATTTTCTATGGGTCTTATATTTGGCCAATCAATCTGACCTACCAAATTTCATAAGGATCGGCCGACTATATCCTATAGCCGCCATATAACTGATTAATCGGAAATGCCATAACTTTGGTGTTTGTTAAGTTAGGAAGTTGGGATTTTCTATGGGTTTTATTTTTGGCCAATCAATCCGACCTACCAAATTTCATAAGGATCGGCCGACTATATCCTATAGCTGCCATATAACTGAACGATTGGAAATGCCATAACGTTGGTGTTTTTAAAGTTAGGAAGTTGGGATTTTTTATGAGTATTAAGAATGCATCATATGAATAATTTTGGAGAATATAATTTACAGAGTATTCTGCAAGGGTATATCAACTTCGGCTCCGCCCGAAGTTAGCTTTCCTTTCTTGTTTTTTTTTTTTTTGGGTCGATTTTTAATAATTTTCCAAATTTTCGCAAAAGTGTCCAAAACTGGCACGTCTAAGCTCATAACTTTTCTTACAGACATCCGATTTCAAAGTGGCATTTATCTAAATTATTGTGGTTTAATTCTCTAAAAATCGGTGTTCTCACTTTTTTTTTATTTTTCGTCATTTTTAATGATGAAAATTTTCAAAAACAGAAAAATTACTTCTACAAGTAACCAATTTATATTTCCCCCAATATAAAGAACGTTTATTAGCTAGAGGATTTTTAATTTAGTCCATGTGTAGTACAAAAAAAGCAGCACTTCATAATTTGGTCCCTTTCCTATCTACAATTATTCAATTTGTCTTTATCCTTAGTTATTTTCCTTCTTCTGACTGCTATCCAAAGTGCATAGCTGGGCATCCAGTGGGGACAGGATGTGTGGTACATAGCAGTTATTAGTGTTCTTCTTGCGGCTGGTATCAAGGACATAACACTTGTCGCAAGGTCCGCAGGGTGTGGGTATGAAGTCTCGGCCAGTGAAACGCAGTGTGGATAGGGGTGGATTGTTGCAGGCTAGATCGTAGGAGGCACAAGCCCAGCCGCCGCACATGGTTACGATTTGGATGCCACAACTGCATAATTAAGGGATAAAATAAAACAAAAAAATTATATAACTAAAATATTATAATTGTAGGGTTAATTGTTAAATTAATTAAAATAAAAAATTTGAAATGAACTAGGTTAAAGTAATTAAAAATAAAATAAAAACTTACCCCGCTGGAAGTGTAAGGTGTATGATGTTGTTCCGACAACTAATGGACAGGGACTGAATTGTGATTGTTTGATGGCTGACAGTTGGCAGTTTTCAGGGCACACTTGGTGTGCTGGTTCATGAGACTAGAGATTTGTGGAGCCACTCGATTCTGTGGTCACTCCAGGACAACGGATCCCGCCTAGCATCCGCAGCAGCCGCCGCAGCAACCGCCGCAGGCGGAGCAGTCGTTACATGGACCACATGGCGTGGGTGCGAAACAGCGGCCAGTGAATCGAAGTGTCGACAGCCGCGGATTGCAGCAGGCGATGTTGTAGGAAGCACAGGCCCAGCCACCACACATCTTGACTATGTTTGGTTTGGGTTTTTTTCAAATTTAAACTATCTGTATTTTCTTCTTGTAAGTTTAGTTTTTGCCTGGAGCGGACACAAAATCGAGTGTTTGGTGCCGAAGTGGAAAACGAACTGAAGTTGACTGGCCAAACGGCTACCGAAGGCGATTTTCCGCTCTGACAGCTGTTGACAATCTCATCGAAGCCTCCCTCGGGCTACCAACTGCCTACGCTTCGTTAATCTGGGCTAAAATGGAAACTGGCTAAATCGCAATAAGAAAATGGGTGGCACCATCGAGCACAAGTATGTTGATAAAGCTCAACTGGATGAAACATTAGACAAGGATTTTATGTTGAATACCGACAAAATAGAATTAAATATAGAGATGATAGTTTAAAATTTTTCAAATGGGATGTATTCAAAATATTTATAGAATTTAATGTTTCTAGAGTTTTTAAAATAACACTTATATTTTAATAATAATTTTCATCTATAAAAGCACAATTTGTAATACTATAGAATGGTTATGGAATGTAAATTGAAGTTTTTACGAGCCGAACTTAATTTTGTAGTTAAACAAAATCCCTACCTTTCTTTTTTCGTTCTTTCAAAGTGCGCCTAGGTCTGATTTCATTTCATAATTCCATTATTTCTACCACACATTTTCAACTGCACAGTTGGCCATGCAAATATCTATCCGGCGGATAACGAACCGTTATGAAACTTTTGTCGCTCCTATCCACGACACTCCATTCCGGCTCCAATTCAACCGGGCGGACACAATCAATTACATTAGTATCCGACGGAGCAGAGGGTCTGCAAAGAGGGCGTGTCTGGATGAGAGGATCTAATAGACTGGCCCACGCATGGTCAACTGTGCAAATAGCACTCAGAGGAGTTACGGCAGAGTTCGGTGGTTCCGGTTGAGTATTTTGAGCGGACATATGTGGCTTTTAAATGAGACCGAAAGGCCAATATCATTTTAAGTCTTGTCTAATTGTTTAATTGCCGATTATAGATGTCAGTATTCTAACAGCGATGGGTAGAAAAAAATATGTTGAAATTTAATCTTTCCCAAGTTTGAATAAACAAATTGGCCATTATTAAATTATAGGATGTCCTTACGTATACCTTATCTCATCTTGGTAATAAGCTTAAATTAAGGTTTCATGTGCAATATAATATACATTTTCTAGGTATTATTGTAAAATATATAAGCCAAACCTATAAAATTCAATACATTTTCTGAGTTAAATTATAATATTTAAAATTTGTAGATTAAATTAACTCAAAACCTTTTTTATAACCATGAGAACACCCGATCTTTGAACCTTATCTGTGTAATCTAGGTTCAGACGCCAAATGTATTTATCCGGGTTATCACTATTTGTTTTTTCACCTGTATCCTTGCGCTACATGTCATTTTTTCAAAAAACACTTAACGAAACTTCAGGAGTTTTTACTAGACAACAATTGCCAAATTATCCAAGTGGTTTTTGCGACGATTGGCGGACAAAAAAGGGTGCTAAATAGGCGCCTGGAGCTGTGAGCGGTCGACTACCATCATTGCCCCGGAGTATTTAGCACACTTTTTTTGCGGCCAGAATTTAGCAACAGGTTGTCAAGGACTTCTGGGATTTGTGGAATGAGTTGTGCGGCGCCCAAGTGTCGACCGCGCTGTGGACCCTGCGGTGGTTGTGGATCGGGATGTAAGCCCTGCGGCGGAGGTGGCTGCTGCGGATCAGGTGGCTCCTGCTGCGAAGGCTGCTGCTGCGGATCAGGTGGGTCGTCCTGCGGCGGATCCTGCGGTGGATGCTGTGGCTCCGGGCCTTGCGCCGTGGTCTCGTACCGCCTGACCTGCGGCCCCGTGGGTCCCTTACTGCCCTGCATGAAGTGCACCTGCAACTGCGGATGCTGCACCGGCTGCTGTGCCCCGCCCTTCTATTTTGTGCCCAACAATTGCCGCAATTGCTGGGAGTGGGGCTGTTTCGGACCCCTTTACTAGTACCCTGTAGTATCCTGTTGTTGCCATTTTGATGGAACTTTTCATATTTTTGAATGCAATAAATTCACGTGTCAGCCAGAGTTATTTCTTTGGCTTTTTTGTTTGCCTTCTTTTTTTTTTTTGCCTTTCTGACAGGCTAACAAATGACCGAGGTCCAGTTTCAGGGTTGCCATACAGTTTGCTCCATGGAAATCATTTAACATTCGAACTTTTGTTAGCTAGCCCGCAAGTAAAAAAAAATGGACAGGGAAAAGTTTCCATTCGAGAGAGGCTAGCAAAACAATGGAAAAATGGGTAAAATCTGAAAGCTGCTTGTTTTGGTTTTGCATACGAAGCGAATTCGGGGGCGGTGTTGAACAAAAAATGTTTGGGAAAAGCAAAATATGCGTGCGAAAACCTTCCTATCTATTTGGTTACACGACGTACTTATGTAGGTCATGGATCTGACAGTTTTTGTTCAATTATTCGGTTGTATTTTTTAGCCACGCTTGAATAGCGAAGACAGGTCAATTGAACAAACTTTTTGACAACACTTCGCGGCAAAAAAACAACCCAACATTTTGGCTTAAAAACTGCCATAGTTCGAAACAATTTTTGGGTGCTACTGCCCATAAATTAGTTATTTAATTAAAGCTCTAATTTATTGGTTTTGCAAATTACTAATTAAGTAATGGTTTGAGCAGAATTAAAATTGGTTGACGGTACTTAAACCAAATAAACAAATATTTGATGTATAGTTCTAACTTCCAAATTAAAGCATTTTCCATTATTAATGATTATTACCGTATGTTTAATTGTTTTTCTTTCTCATCCACCTTGAAAAAATCCACACTTTGATATTTTTCTTGTGGTAATAGGTTTTTTTAAAACTAATTTATATTGCTCAAAGCTGAAAATCGAACTTACTGACATAACAATATTTTTAATACTAAACTATGGTAGGTCCTGAAATGTTAAATTACTTATAAGAATATCGGTTAATTTTTTTACTTTTGTATTCTCTACTTTATCGGATGTCGTTAAGCGTCAAAGCCAATCGATTTATTGTTAATGTGGTATTTATTATTAACATATAAAATATTTAACAGGTTGGCTTTATTTTAATTCTTTAAAAATAATGAAGATGTAGGAATAACTTGCTGATTAAATCGAGCGGTTACAGCATTTTCTTACAACCAATTTTGGTTTTAATGTTTAGGTAAATCAATACAAAAATCGAACTGTCTTAAGTTGGAAGAGACTTGCGATTGATTCGATTTGTAAATCAATATAATGTAATTTAAAAACATTTATAATAAAAATTCAAGCAATAGTCTCCAAAAGTTAATTTGTTTGTTCAACGCGAAAAGCTATGATCTCAAAAAGGTTTTATCTTGAAATTGTGTATTTCAAAATGTAAGCAATTATTTGTGCATATAAATAATTTTTAAAATGTCTCAAAAAGCCAAAACAATTTTGGCACATTTATCTTATGTATCACTATGTATCTTTTCTACTATAAGAAGAAAATTGTTAGACACAACACAAATATTAAATAGTACATTATAAAAGCCAAGAGCCGTAAAATATTTTTCTAGAGCCCCACTAAAATCCCGAAGTGAAATCACAGATATCATCATCACCTAGTCGCAACTCTCAACTGAGGGTAACTCACCTTTGGGTAAATGGGGAACTCGGCAAATGTTATGACTGTCGGCAGTTGTTGTCTTTGTGTGTTGTGATTGTTGTTCTGCCGGCAATAAATTAACTTATTTTAGCACGTTACACGGCTTCTCACACACACACACACACTCGGCTGCTTTTTCTTCCGCACACACACATGACACTAGATGGGCGGTGGGCGGCGAGAAGTGGGTGGGTTTTTGGGGAAAGAGCAACGTCAGGGGATTTCGGGACCGACCAGAAAATATATCTCGCACTGGAGGATAGGGCTTGACCTATGTATGCCGGGGGCGCTCAGTTACACTCTTTGCCCTTTCTCGAGTATTTTGTGGATTTTGCACATTTCTCACATATTTTTCATAATTTTCGCGAGCCAATCGCGTTGGGTCCAAAAAACGTGTGTACGAAATAAAAGTTTTGCGAAACGAAAAGTTTGTCCTGTTTGCAATGTTTGTTCTTTGTTTTGGCAGCACTCAAATCTCTGGTGAAATATTAATTTTCACAAATTCTGACACTTTTTTAGCCGGCATTTGTTTGTCCACCGAGTTTGCTACTTCTATCCCAATTTTTGTTATATTTTGTTTTTTTTTTGGGGTGAGGCTGTTGTTTATTTTATTTGTTGTGATGGGATATTATTTAAATTTATTGGCTCGTTGGCCCTCGTCTTTGGCCGTGTTGTTGTGGTTGTACTCGTGGGCGGTGGCAACAGCACAGCGAACCAGACGATTTGACATTATCAACGTAACTGAAGCATCAGCGGCAGGAAGCTGTCGGCCCTCGACGGAATCCCAACAACAGCAGCTGCTGCTGAAGGACCCGATGCCGATGCTGTTAAATAGAAGCTGGAATCGAAGGAATTCGGATGTAATCGTGTCCTGCCAGCGAGAGAAAAAGGATAAAGAGCTCGCGCACTCGGCACTTGACGAAACCCGAGCCGAACTCCTTGTTTAGGTCAGGGAAATTCCAGAGAGCGCCGAAGAGGGGCAGAGAATTTATTCAAATTTCGAGGTGATGGGAAAGCTTTCAGTTCGAAAAGGAAATGTCTTTATTTAACAGGGGTAGAAAGGGATTTTTGTTTTAACAGAAGACCCAAAGGGATTGTGTAAGGATACACCAGAGCAATGTTAATCTGAACAAATAAAACAGATTAAAAATTAACATTAATTTGATATTAGAATTTACATTACCCTAGATTTAGCTCTATTAAATTTGTAAAACGTTTTTTACCACAAAATTAAGTAATCGTTATTGAAAATAAAAAAGTATAGAGGTCTAAGTATAGATTTAATACTTAATAATAAAAAGCGTATACTTTGAAATTAATTGTCTAAGACGACGAGCTTTAATTGTTTGTTAGATAATGTTATCTTAATATCAAAACATTAAAATTAGTTTCGTCTTAATGAAATTTTTGTTTTGTTTGCCAAGTCGAAAAACTGTTCAAAATTTCAAGAAACCTGTACTTTAATTATAAAACTCTTTTTCTATCTAATTATAAAGGGATTTAAAGTAATTAAACATTAATCCTTTAACTTTTTATTAAAACTGAGTTGAACTTTAAAAGAACTTTAAATACATTGAACTAGCTTGAAATGGCATTCAGGAAGAGGAAAATATAAAACATGAACCTTAGGAGATAGTGACTAAAGCGGTCAACTACAAGCGGAACTAATGCACAACATGCAAAATGGAAACCATATTGACAAGATATTGTATCCATATGGAAAACTGGAGAACGGGGCAAAATAGACCAGCAGCGGTAGAAACATAAAGCAATAAACAAGAAAATACCAAATGCATACGAGGCAGCAAACATGACAAGCAGCAGTGGCAGCAAACAAAACAGAGCAGGGAAAGGATACAAGTGAACATGAATACATATATAAATATTTATATATATATTGCTGGATATACTGTGTGGAAAAGGATGCTCTGGCTAGACAATAACTGTAAAATGTAAATATTAATATTGTCATAATAGACAAGACAAGTTGAAAGGCAGAACAGGGGAGTGGGTGGGATGTCCGAAAAGGATAACGATGACGGCCAGGACGATGATGATTGCCCCTATCCTATCCCAATGGATGCGATCCTGACGAATAACCGCAAAAGTGCCGTTAAGCTGCGCACTACTGGATGCGAGCGAAACGTAACGAAACAGAATACAAAATGTCAGCTCATTTCCGGTTGCTTAATTTGAAATCGTTGTGCCAAAAATTACAAATGAGCTGACAATGGCACACCGAAGAAACCAAACAAGCGAAAAATAACAGGACACGGCAGGACTGCCAGACAGGGAGGGGCAATGGCAATGGCGATGGCGATGGCGATGCCGACAATAAGCACAGAATAGCAGCGTCTAATACGCAAAATAAACGAGAACTGGCCACAGCATGACAGGCAGGATAACACTGGCCAGCTGGGCGCAGTCCTTTACAGGACCCCAGCCACCGGAAAACTTTCCACCACACCACCCCTACCCATCGTGTTTTACAATTTAACGCACATCCTAACAAGGCAACGCCCCATAGTTTAATTTTTGTCTCTCCGCCTCAATGTGTGCATGCATTTCACACACTCAAAGAAAAAATCATATAAATGGACAGTCGGGACTAAGCCACAACAAAATCTGAACTCAAATATTAAAGTAGATTCATATCATATAGGAATAAAAATGTACCAGCATTCCATTTTCAAATCGTTTAAAAACAATTTAGTTTTAAGTTGTCAACAATTTTTGTCTGTAAGTAATCCAAAGTATAATATAATTTTAAAAGAGATTTCTGGAGAATATATTTTGTATATTGTATATTTTCTTATTTTTCTTGGATTCTATTGGTTAATAACTAATAATAATACTATTAACACTACTAATAATGGTACACAACTTTTTTTTGAAAACAATTATTATTTTTATCCTTATTGAAACTTAAAACTGAAATTTCAAGTTCTTCGTACTTAAAATTAAGATAAGGAATATTTAAGATACAAAATCATGCTACTTATTTCTCTAAGTGCACACTCCCTTTCTGTCTTTCATTCACATCTCTCTCTCTCTTCCGCTGGGCTTGCTGCACTCTAATCTAATGATGACAAGGGGGAAGCCCCTCACCCAACTACGGCTTTGAGTGTCGCTCTTTTATTGCGTATACGCCATGTGCATCTCCCCCTCGACGCACACACTCACTCACATGGAGTTGGAAGCCACAATGTGTCGAAAATTTGGTGCGTTCCTCGTCATTCACCTTTTCGTTGAGTGCAGGCGATAAAATGTACGGCGAACACACTTTCTACAACCGTCAGTTCTCCCCAAAACCTCCATCTTTACTTTTTTCCGCTTCAAGAATTCGTCCAGCTGCTGACATCTTTGGCGGCAAGGAGGTTTTACTGCCAAATGGTCAAGTTGGAGACTTAACTCGGCTGTGAATAAAGGGGGATATGAATTGAATTCCGTATAAAATAATATGAGCAGAAAGTTAAACGAATAGCTTCATTTATATAAAGAGTGATTTTCTTTCGTAGCTTTTTTTGCTTTGTTGAATTATTTATTTTAATTTAGAAGTTAAAGTAACCATAAAACATTTTTCTCTTTATTTCCTTGTAGAAAATATCATATAATCATAATAATATATAGAATTATAACCTAGTATTTATAGCCCTTTACTAATTGTGCAATATTTGTAAATTCCTTTGAAACCCTAAGACAATTGTGTTTCCTGGTGTCATTAAACACAGCCCCGCCGCTTAACACCTTGACTAGCGGTGTTCCAAAAACTTAATTAACGTTCATCAACTAATTGCCTAATTTATGCAAGTCAAATAAATGTCATGTCAACATATAATTAGTTATGGCGCCTGTAGTGGCGGTAAGCAAATGCGGATATGTACGGGAACGTGGAAAATTTGCTAATTTATGCATGATTTAAATTCGCAATGGTAGAGAGCGCCTCTTTCGCAGCTAATTAAATTCTTGTAATGAAAAAATAGAGCAAACAAAGAGAGTGCCAGGGTGGTGAGAAAACTAAGCCACTTCTCGGGGACGCAGTGTCGGCTGTTTTCCCAACTTGGCCATACTTGCCATGCACTTTTGGGGTCATCCTGCTAGTCTCTAAGGATGTTCTTAGCCTTGTCAGCGGCTCCTTCTGTTGGCCAGCATAATTTTGTTATTGTTTCTGCATTGCATTACAAGCAACTGTAGAGCAACTCTTGCTGCTGCTTCTTAATCTATTGGATTAGGGAAAATTCAATTAAGTCGGCCCAAGGAGTCCCCTTTTGCTTGGCAGCCTTCAATGAAATTAAACGGCGAACGCTCCAACTTTAAGTTTGACATTTCGATTCGTAAATATTCCATGTGCCATTGAGAGCAATTACTTTTGAACGATTCAGCCTCGTTAAATATTTGTTTAACTGGCTAAGCAAAATATCGCCCACTAAATCCATGTCAAAATCCAGCTATAAAATAATAAATATGCCTACAAAAAATACCTAAATCATTCCATCTACGCGAGGCGAAAAAAAATAGAGCAAAGCCTCATAAAAAATGGTTGCGAATTTCGAACCAAGTGCAAACATTGTTGTAACGCAAATATTTACAACACTTTAAACTATATGGCAGTTTCTGAAGCACCAAAAAAACACGATAAAAGGGTGAGCAAAAACAAATGTGTATCAGTAAATGATTGAAAAAAATTTGTATTCTGACTCCCCACACATGCGGAGGGCGAATAAACAATCGAAAAAACGAAGCGACTGATTTCAGTTACAGAACATGGAATACGAAAAACGAATTAAAAACTCACGTTTTTAACAACTTTTAAATAAGAATTATAAAATATGAATAATATATTTATGAAACTGCAACTAGAAAATACTATTGTTTTTAACAATTTTTTACAAATTATCTTTTATAAACCGAAGTTACATGAGATAGCGTTGACTAAGACAAAACCATTTTTAATTTAATAATACAATTAAAATTTTAATACGTTTTTTTTTAAAGTAATATTATTAAAAAAAATTCTTTAAATTTGTCAAATATTAATGTTGATTTAGGTAAAACATTTTTAGAATCATTAACATTTTTCTCCTCTTAACTTGACTTAGCTGTACTCCACCAACATTAATTTACTTTTGCTTCAGCCTTTTCGTGGATTCTGTGTTTTTCTCGTGGGCGGTTCCTTTGTCCTCTGAACAAAATAAGTCATAAATATATTTCGCTGATTTCATATTTTTCCACAAGGTTGCGAAAATAACTTGCATAATGTTCCTTTCGGGGGAAGGACGAACAAAACAGAAAACGGACTTAACCGAGGCACAAAGGGAATCCCAACAGAGGGGAAAACCCGACGAGGGGCCAAACGAATAATTCACAAAGAATGAAACAGCAAAGAAAGGCTTACTATTCGCTGGGATATTTAAGTAGATTTGCCTGTTGTCTTTCAACTGTTTCCCATTTTCCATTTCCATGGCCAGACTTACTTTCATATTTTATCATTCTTTTCTTTGCTCTTTCTCGGTCCCTATACCTTCAGCTCTTTTTTTCGGTTCGCTTGTTTTCGCGCTTCCTCCTTTTTATTTCCACGCTTTTGTACTTATAATTTCTCACGTTTTCCTGCAAATGCAGCACAAAAATTTCTCGTAGTAACTTTTAATTTCATGCCATTTAATTCGTTGAAAGCGGAACGCGTAAAAGGAGCAAAAAATCGGCATCTGAAGAAAAGAGAATA